TTAATGTGCCGTTTATACGGGATAGTTTGCGTCTTATTTAGGACGCGTCCAATGAAAGACGTGTCTTATTTTTCCTCGTATAAATGGCCCTAATGTTTCAGACAGAGCCAAGAAAAGTATGCCAGCTAACATCAAAGGGGTGAATTAACATCATGGGACAAGGTTCATATTCGGGGCATGAGAATTGATTGACAGTGAGAGAGAAAGCAGTTCCAATTGGTGCAACTGTATAGTTGCATTGTTAAAGCACGCGTGATCAACACTGTCACGCTCTCTCTTCGACGTCACACGATCCAAACATTCGATCACTGGTAACGACTTGATGTTACGGAACACTAATATTTATTCAATATAGATATAAGTATCTACTAATTAGCATAAACTCGTGCTCCCTAACCCCAAATAATAACCTGATCACTCATGGTTGTCCCATTAGCTTAAGAGTGTTAAAATTATGTGGACAAGAATTGGTCTTTACAACCTCACTTTTGGTTCTAATAAAATGAGTTGAACATAAGATTATACGAGGACTTGCACTTAGTATCCAGCGGCTTACTGATATTATATGCAGGTTCGTGGCCGTGAATAGCGTTGAGCACTGATTGGCTTCATCGACAAGAGATCTGGATACGAGATAAAGTGCCAAAAGGCGTTATGTTACGTAAGGGGAAAAGAGCCACCGGTGATATTTGACGACTTGGAAAGAAATGGGAGTGGCCAATCTAAGATACCACGTTATTCCCACCCCCAAAAGGAAAACTCAAAGAGAAGTCAGCCAAGTGACCAACCATTTTCAAGGGAAAATGCAATGATTTTCGCGACACTTGGCAGTGTCATTCCATTTATTTTCGTTCTGCTCTTTATTCCACGCTGCTCCCTAATGCCTGAACGACTGGAACCGTATTACTATGATTGCCATATCCGCTTTGTAATGCCTTACTCCAAAGAAACGTTTGAACCAAGTTTTGCTTAAGATAAAGTAGAGGCTGAAGAGCTCGTTAAATTTTTGATTATCTCAGAGTGCATTTAGCACTTATTACTAAATGGCATGACTGATTTCTTCCTCTGCAAAGAGAGATCAAGAGAGAATCATACATACAATCATACATCCGTTCACCAAAAATGCCCGCGCCGCACATACAAATTGGGCTAAACTATGAACCTGTCCATCCTCCACCCCACCCCCCACCCCCCAAAAAGGGGGATCGTGTTTCATTTCGCTTAATAATTTTATAAGTGTGTTTTGTCAAACAAAATAAAGTCTTAGCAGTAAGTAGCCATAACATAGATAACTCGGTAAGATTACTGAATTCCTCTAAAAATAAAACAAAGACTACGCGCCATTCAAACAATAAGTATTCAATTGATTTAATTCTGACGTGCTGTACATTGTTCGAGAAAAAAGAAAAATCCTCATGATGATATATATCTATAATATATATTTCCTTACTTTAGAAGCCCGTTTGGTAAGGGAGTTGCCCTAAAAAATAGTATTTTGTTTGAATGCATGATCTCTGGTCGTCTAGCTCTAAAGTTTTTTCATCTCATTGCATTGGAAACTGCTAGCTCGGCGTGAAGGGTCCGACCAAAAGTTCGAGGATATGGAGTATCCGCACTTTCATTAGAAAAGTGTAGAGGACGTTATGTCTTTTAAGCGGAATTTTCAGGAGATCTTTTCAACCTATAATCGGATTATCTTGGTAATAAAATGTGAAATAACATAAACCTCCGAAAATTGTTGGTAAGTTATATACTAGAAAAACTCCGACCTATCCCGAGCTTCAGAAATTTCGAGGCAATGTATTTGCTCCTTCAAATAACAGCAACCTCGTCCCCAGGGCGCTTTTCCCTTGCTTTGAGGTGGGGCGCGGACGAGAATAACAGTTGCTAGAGAACTTACTGAATGCTTTATTGTTTTCTCCACGGGTACGGGTAGGCTAAGATGTTTGTCATATAGTCATATAAAAGACATACCAACCAGTTGAGATATTGGCATTACAGATTTTCCCGGTAACTTGGCCGTTTCTCTGGGGTAAAAGACGATCTATCGATCTACCGCTACGAGTACGTCGCTGAACGTAGCATCACCCCACTGCAAAATCGCCATACAGTGATTAATCCATTCCTCTCACGCTCCGGCGTAGAAAGCAAATGGAGAAATGTTATGAAGGCACTTCAATTACACTTAATTACACCTGCGAAGGTTTGACCTTAA